AATACTCATGAGTCAACAGGTGAGAAGGACAAGGGCAAGTCTGTGCTTAGCCCCACCTCGCAGGCTGTTTCCCTTCAACACAAGGAGAGGGACCTAACTGCTTTCTGGTTGTGGACAGATTGGTTGGTGTGGGCCGGAGTCACAGGTGCCGGTTCCCCTGGGAAACACAGAACCTGCTTGGATGGAACTAAAACAAGGGCACCGAGGGGGACACTTGACAGGATGAGCACTGGGTGTTATTCTGTATGTTGGTAAATTGAACACCAATAAAAATTAATTTATTAAAAAAAATAAAAAATAAAAATAAAACAAGGTTAAAAGGAAAAATCCAAACCCTGCCCAGGACCGGGGAAGCTGCTAGAAGTAGGCTGCCTTCCACATGACTTTGCCTCCCGTCGGCCTGTGGTGGTGGCATCACTTTCTGATTTGCATTTAGTGTCTGCTTTTCCCACACAGGGTTCAAGTTCAAACGGCCTGGCTGGGTGCCAGGTGAGGGCAGGTGGGGGCACGAGGGTGCTACGTGGGTGGACGGCTATTCCAGTGACAGGGGCCTCAGAGAAGCTCTGTGCTTCCGAGATAGGGCTTCGGTTCAGTTTAGATTTGCCAACTGTTGTTCCCAAGGAAGAGCTAAGACAAAGACAGAACTGCGCTCGGGAGTCCCTGCGAAGGGCAGGGGTTTATTTTATAGGACAGCCTGAGGTTCACTTCCTGTTTGGCTCCTTGAGGGCTGCTGGTTGGGAGTAATGAACTCGATCCAAATATTTTCAAGGACACAGTCCCTTGAAAGGGCATTTGTCCCCAAGCACGGTTCCCTTTAATAATCCATGCACGATTCACACCGAGTTACCTCCGCACAGAGCCACTCCCTGTTGCGTTCTGTGGACTTTCCCAGTGTGAACTGGATGACTTTTGACTCATGACCGTTCTCCCCATGATGGAAATGTCACATGCACTTTGGAGGTGATACATGGGGCGCCTGGGTGTCTCAGTGGTTGAGCATCTGCCTTGGGCCCAGGGTGTGATCCCGGGATCGAGTCCCACAACAGGCTCCCTGCAAGGACCCTGCTTCTCCCTCTGCCTGTGTCTTTGCCCCTCTCTGTGTGTCTCTTATGAATAAATTTTAAAAATCTTAAAAAAAAATGTTATAGCCAATACACCCATAGATAGATAGATAGAGTGCAAAGCTAGCACAAAATTGGGTATAGAGGCACCTGGTTTTAAGATCATTGGGCAAATGGGAAGGGAACCTGGCACGGTGGACTTGTCACTATGGATTTCTAGCCTGGACTCTTCCATTCACTAGTAGGTTGACCTTACATAATCCCTTTACTTTCCTGTTCCCTCATCTGTAAGTATGGGCTTCACAGGTGACGCACCGAACTCTTGTGGGGAGGGCTGCCACAGTAGGCGGTGGGACAGTAGTGAAAGAGGTGATGTTGGGGGTGAACCTTCCCCGCTTCCTTCAGCCAGAACTGCTTCCTTTTTTTCATTTGTTTTAAAGGATTTTATTAATTTATTCATGAGAGACACACACAGAGAGAGGCAGAGACACAGGCAGAGGGAGAAGCAGGCTCCCTGCGGGGAGCCCGATGTGGGACTCGATCCCGGGACCCCGGGATCATGGCCTGAGCTGAAGGCAGGTGCTCAACCAAGGAGCCACCTGGGTGCCCCCCTTTGTTCTGTCTTACACATCAAGCATAGGGAGTCAGTGTCTGAAGAAAAGGTCTTCCAGGCTAAGGAAATGCTTGAAAACTACTGGAGGTGATCACTAAAGTTGGGCGATCATACGTCATTTATCAGTCACATCGGGGCATTTTGACATTGGAGAGGCGATGCTGGCAGTAATTACCCTGGGGCAGCAGACTTCAGTGGGTGCGTCCCAGACAGACGGAGATGTACGGTCATGCAACCACTGAGTCCTCTTCCAGCTCAGAGGGCCTTGGCTTCTCTGCTCTAGGCTCCCATGGCTTGACACCTCTTCTTGCCTTTTCTCAGCATCAGGCAGAGGGACAGAAGCCATCAGGGGCAGCCTCAGAGAGTGAAGGCATGCAAGGGGACGGCCTCGGGGACAGCAGCCCTCAGAAACAGTTCCAGGGACAGAAGCCCTCAGGAGAGAGCACCATACCCAATGACTGGAGCACGCAGGTGGAAGGACTGCGCAAGGCCACCTGCAAAGGACAGGCGGCGTGGGTTCTGCCGGGTGCCTGTTCAGAATCATGTGAGAATCACCAGTTTCGTGGTGAAAACATCAATGAATCAAGCGGCAATTACCCAGGAAGCAAGCTGTCCGCAAAGAGCTCAGCCCAGGAGATGGTACTGGTGGCGAGAGATTAAGCAAAGAGGCCCCAATCACGGGTCCTCAGTGGAGGAAATGGGCAGTGGGGGCGTAGGTCACAAGGCGGGCTGTGGGATGGAGCATTGTGCTGAACTGGGACAGCCCCCGCAGAATTCCTACAGAGGACAGGTGCGGGGGGTGGGGGTCTCTCTGCCCACCCGCCCAACACTTGCACAGCTTGGGATCTAGAAGGACTCCTGCGCCCGCTGGGCTTAGCTCAGGCCTGGTGGAGGCCACGCTCCCGGTTGCTTCATGGGGTTTCCCACCCAGGGTCTGCTGCTGTGCTGTCCCACCTGTCCTTCTGTCCCTTCCCTCCCTTCTGATGCTCTAAGCCTTGCAGAGAGTGAAGTTTTTAGCAGAGTGACACAGGGAGACTGAGGAGGCTGGTGATGTGGTAAGTTAGAGAAGTATACAGAAGGCGCTCATTTACCTTCGTTGTTTTTTTTTTTTTTTTCCTGGTTGCCTCTTAGCCGGCAAATAATGGTTGGTCCCTGTCAAATGTCAAAGACTGGTTAGGGATAGAGCACAATTTTGCACTCCGGTCTGTACTGCCCTGTGTGCTGGGTGTGTGGCGCTGGGCAAGCACCTCCGACCTGGATCCTGGGCTCCTCGCCTGTCAAATGGGGGCGTACTGCTAGCGCCCCGCCTTCCTCGCAGGGCTGACGACCAGCCCTCCAGTGTCACCACTGCTTCCTCACATCCTGTCCTGGTCTCACAGCGGGGAGGGTCCTGCAACTCCTTTGGGACTATTTTTTCATGGAAACTTTGGCTTCCTTAAACCTCAGCATCACCATCCCCCCAACTCCTGGGGGTGTTCTCCTCCTCCGCCTCTGGTTGCCAAACGCCTCCTTTTCCTGAACTTTTGCACAGCAACCACTCACTCTGTGCATCTGTGGATAAATCAGACGACTTTGGGAAAGCCAGGCCCTCCTCCCATCACAGCACCGCAAACAACTCAAAGTCAAATACTGGACGTGGGTTTCTGCGAACCCCCTCACCGTTCTCCTGACTTGGGCAACCGCCTCCTGCTGTGATCTCACCTCCCACCCCTTCCATCCTCTCAGCTCCCAGCAGCACAGGCACATTTTTCAGGACTCGTTCTGCAGAGCCATTGAGGCCCGGACGCCCCCATATCCAAGCTCAGCTCTGGCTTCTGCTGCCTTCTCGAAAGCCTCATTAAGACACTTGCCTGAACAGTGTGTCACACTCCTTGGGGGGGGGGGGGGTTGAATTAAAAAAAATTATCTTCTTTGATGTAAGGATGAAACAACAGCCTATTCAGGAATTGGGCTGGGACCCGTGGCCTGGGAGGGCCCCACGTGCTGAGCCCAGGGGGACTGCTGGCCAGGGGCGAACGCGGCCCTCCGAGCCACTGGCAAGCAGCGAGGGGCCTGGGGCAGGGAGGGGAAAGGCAGGACATAGAGGCCCAGGAGGGTCCCTGCTCTGTGGCCCCGTGAGTGGGATTCTAGCTCCCTCAATCCTCAACTACCCTAAACCTTTGACCACCCAAGCTCTGGAAGCCACATCACCAGAGCCACGTCCTCTTGCCTCCCGCCCTTTGAGAAACTCTCCCACCACCAAACCAGTTGGAGGTGGGGAGGACGTTCCTCCCTCCTTCTAGCATCCCAACCCCAGGCCAAAGCCTTTCAGAGTCCAGCCGGAGTGGCCCGCTCCCAGAGGAGCAAGAGGAGCTCTCGAGTGTGCTATGGGGGGGCGGGGACCACATTCTACTTTTTGGCCCCCCTCCCATCAACCCACGATGTCACTGCAAACAGGATCATGTGTGCGGAAGCTCATGGGAACTGGTGTGAAGAACGGAAGAATTGGATTTACTCCTTATCACATGGGGGGATTGATCCTGGCTTGACACCAGACCACAGGGGGGCCCGGGGAGCAGCCAGGCAGGTGGAAAGGGAACCTGTGAAGGCACTTGCGAGGCTTCCCTGTAACTACTCAGCGAGAACACCCAGAGCGCGGAGGTGCGGGGTCTGGGCCCTGCGACCCGAGGTCTTATATAAATGCTAACAAGGCAAGAGTGGGATTTCGGTGGCCGAGGCGGGAGAGCCAGAGCTGCAGCTCATTTCCTCGGATGGATGGCGGCGAGGTCTTGCTTTAATTTGCAGATGTGCGAGGCTCTGGACGCCGACACCCCGAGAGCAGCAGGGAAGCAGGTGCCTTCTAATGGGTGCAATAGATTTAAGCTGAAGTGGACGTGACTGGTCCAGCCTCAGGCACCCCACTGCCTGTGTGGGGCCCTCCTATTTGTTTCATTCGCTCCTTATCCCAACCCTATGCACCACAGTTCCTATTGGGGGTGGACCCAGGATGTCTCCGGCAGCCGCAACACACTCAGGGGTCGGCAACTACAAGAAGGGCCTTCAGAGCCGGACAGATGAGGTTTGAGTCCCTCGCTGCAGTATGTTGAGGAAGGACATCTAGCTTCTTGGAGCCTCAGTTTCCTTCTCCATAAAAATGGGGCCACGGAGCACGCCCAGGGTATCTTTCGAGATCACCCGAGATACCTGTGTAGTTACATAGCCCAGGGCCCGGCAGGCAGCAGGTGCTCACCAAGGGGTGGCTATTATTCACACCGTCACTGGTGACTGATTTGCACGCTCACGGTTAAGCAGTGAACTTGAACGAGGGTTGGCTTAGCAGGGGATGCCGGCTATCGCGGGCTGCACCGTCCTATGCTTTACTTTCCTCTCCTGGAAAACAAAGCCTCCTTTGAAAAAGGAATTGCTTTCGTTTCCCATGGGAAGTAATTTCTACAACCCACGAGTAAATGCAGTCTAATGACTAGAATGTGACAGCGGCTATCAAGAATGAAATGTTCCATAAACAGGGCTGCCTCCTGAAATCACCCCATCTCGGCGCTCTCCGGCTCCCCTCTTGCCCACTGACTCTTTGTGGCCGCTTCTCATCCTCCCACCCCTGCCCTCCTCTCCCCTAGCCCATCGTTTTGGGAGCCCTAGACCACACAGCCTCCCACCTCCGATCCCTCCAATCCCAGGTGGGCCTGTCCCGGGCTCCAGCATGAAAGCCCCAAGACCTAGATGTCACCCCGCTTCTTCCCAGTGGCCTGGAGGACGGACAGGGGTGGGAGTGGGGGTGTCGGTGCAGGAGAAGGCAGTTTGCCAACAGGCACTCGTGGACCATTGCCTCCCGCATTTTCAGGGAAACATCCTTTAATCTCAGAACATCTGCAACGGTCGGCTACCTATTTTCCCCAGGGTTTGACTCGAAGCCGACAACAGACACCACCGGACACCCCCCTCCCAGGTCCTGTGACGCATCTCGGTATGGCTGAAGAGACATCAGTCGGGATCCTGTCTCAGAGCAGTGTCAGTCTGAATAGGAAAGATGCCAGCGCCCTTATCATCGCTGGCAGGGTCTGTAACTCACCTGCTGATCGCGTCTGTAACACAGCGCCCGCTTCTTTGATAGCATTGTTCTCAGGCAGCGGCAGTAATTGGGGTGCGCTGTGAGCGTGTTTACTTTTTCAGAGTGAGCAAGAATGCGGCCATCCGGGCAGCACCTCGCAGACACACAAGAAATGTCAACAAATGCCATAGTTTCTGCAACACGCCCAGGCCTCGTGTCTTTGCTGCCTCGACTTCCTCGATAATGGGAACTTCACCTCCAAAGGGCTGTCGGATTTTTTTTTTAATGCATTTATTCTACAAAGAAGCTAAGTAAGGCCCACGGTTGTAAATTCCTTGGGCGGGGGGTGGGGGTGGGGTGGCGAGAACACTTAGTAGCAAAGCAGAGCCCAGAGCCCTGAACTTAGGACCCAGGGCGCAGGGCCTTTCCTACCCCTTCTCGCTAACGAATGCCTTTCTTCTCCTTATTGGCTCCGAGGACGGATCCTGCCTCTGTTTCTTCTCTGTCTTCCAAATTAGAAACCGCATTCAACATCTTCGGTCTGACCCCTGAGGTTTAAGAACATTTTCTGAATTAGTTAACATTTAAAACAAACAAACAGAAAAGCCCCAAAAAACAGAGGATGGTCTTGACCTCTCCGTTCCTGGTTTCTCTTAAAATGTGGACCCACAACCCTGGGCGTGCGCGTTCTTGCAAGGCGACATGCAGCTGGAGCTGGCGAGACTGTCCCCTTCGGATGGATCCTGTGCTCCGTGCCTTGCCGTAGTCTCCACCACTCCCTGCTGCCTCACATCCGGTCTGCTTCACTCCTTGACCTGCCCGGCCGCTGGTGGCCTTTGAACGTGACCCTGAGTTGAATACGTGACAAACAACTTTATGTACATTATTACTCCAACCTACACATCGGCCTGGGCCTCCCCTTGTCCCCCAAGCTGCCCCAAATTGCCTCGAATCGCCAATCCCCTAGCCTGAGAAATCCAAGACTTTCCCAGTAACTGTGTGAATGCTCACAGATGGATATTCTCATGGTCCGCTTTGCCTCTAGCGCCTATGGTTTTGACTCATGACAACTTAAAAGGATCTAGATTCTTCCTCGGTCTCCTCCCCTCACCCCCAGGCAACCTAGGATTATAAGTGGACTGTAATGATTTTTTGGCAAGGGGTGGGTGGGGGGAGGGAGGCGTGCTATAAAGATTTTAATAGCAACCCTTGCAGCAGATATAACTGAAAAATTCATTCTCCGTGGGGGGTTTTCTTTGGCCTTTCTTCCATGGAGAGTTCGGTCACTCTGTCTCCCCCTCGAATCCTTAGCAACACCAACCCGCTTCAAATTTCCCTCTCTCGATAGCAGAGCAACTCAGCCTTCTCCCAAATGTACCGGTGCAAACCCATCGAGGTGCTCATGGAGCTAAGGTCTCTTCTCTGTTAACACTGGCCATGTCTCTGAGAGGCAAGTCAGGAATCTGGGCACCAACCTACTTTCCGTTATACTTCTAAGACTTTCCATGACTCTTGGTCTCCAAGGAACTAAGTTCCTAGGCTCTTATTCCTGGTACCAATCAACCTAATTCCCTGACTTTAGACATTTACAAGCCATGTGGTCCTCAGTATCACAATCTGAGGTTTATTTGTTCACACGGCTACCTTCCCTACTAGATTGCGAGCCTCTACAGTCAGGGACAATGTCTTATTATCTCTAGATCTTCACCACCTACAGAGTGAGAAGGGTAGGGAAAAGGACGAGGGAGCAGTGAACATAGAGAAGGTATTCAATCAAAGGTAGACTAAGAAAAAAAAAAAGAAGGTGGAAAAAAACGTTGGTTAGCTGGTACGGTTGTATCTGTTGTTCACTGCACAAGGGACACCAAGTGAAGAGGGCAAAGGGTGTGGAAAGCCAGACCTTGCTCTGCTCACCAAGCCGGAACCTCTATATCTGGCTGTGTCCTTTCACGTGCCCACTTGCCACCCTGCTCCAGAAAAGGCACTATTTCTTGTTCTCACAAAGATGCCATATGTTCTGGGGGACAAACAGAAAAACATATTGTCTTTCTATGTGAAAATGTGTATTTTTTGACACCTCGGTTCCTTTTGAACCCCTCAAAAATTCCGATAACTTGGTCAAGATTTGCACAGCGTGTACTCTGATAATGAGGCTGGAACCCCTGCAAGGAGTAGGAGCTCCCACAGGAAAAAGAACCCTTTAAATCCGCAGACAATGAAGCATGTGGGCCTAAAAAAGGCTGCCTCTCTGCTCCCTCGGGGTGCCTCTGCGGTTCTCTGTGCTGTGCCTGGCCCCCTCAAGGAGTGAGGGGGGGCAGCTCTACGCCTTCATGGTCCAGGCCTTTCAGAGAGAAGGGTGCCCAGTTGACGGCCACTCCACCTCTCCCCCAGGTCCCTACGCTCAGCCTGTCACTTCCCATCACCTGAACTCTGGTTGGGGAACAGCACCTGGCGAGGAAGGGTCTGCTGGCCCAAGGGGTGAATTTGGGGTGGATTTCAAGGCTGAGCTCCTGGACAGCAGGCACAGTGGCCAAGTGTGAAACGTGGGCACAATGGAATTGGTACCTCTAGGCCTGGGTGCTGTGCTGCTGCAGACTTGCTCCAGGAACCAGGAGACAGTGGGGGGCTCCAAGCAGGCCCCTATCCTGGGCCCCAAGATGCTGCTCTGAGCCTAAAGAGGATCTGCTAAGAAGCCCAGGCAGGGCAGGGGTGGAGGTTAGCCTCTTGCCCAGCCCGTGGCCTCTCCCACTCCAGATGCAGAGCACAGTCCTCGTGCTTCTGTTCAAGACACACTGCTCTTCCCTTCTCACAAACCAGCTAGGATTAAGGGAGGGGGGTGGAGGCTTCCCGAAAACATAGTCCCAGGAAAGGGTACCTCAGAGGCAGGTGTCCCTACGAGGTGGTTAAGAACTCAGGGCAGGGGCTCTATGCAATGCACGTGGGTGGCAAGGCCGGCTTACTTAATCAGTCTGGGCCTCAGTTCCTCCCTCTGTACGATGGGAATTATCTTTAGTAAGAGCTACTCGGAAGGCTCTCTGGAAATTCAACGAGAAAGTGTTCAAAGCACTTAGCACAGAGTCAGCAGGCTCTACGGGGTCACGTGGTGACGGTGACCTGCAATCTCAACTCTAAATCAGAGACAGACGTCTATAATCTCTTTCTCCAAAGCCTCAGCTACTCAAAGTGTGGTCGATGGACCAGCAGCATGAGCATCCCCTCGGAGCTCATTAGATACAGAATCTTGGGGGAGGGGGTGGGAGTGGGGGGTCGCCCGGGTGGCTCAGTTGGTAGAGTATGTGACTCTTGATCTCAGGTTGTAAGTTCAAGCCACACGTTGGGTGTAGAGATCAGTTAAAAAATAAAATGTTAAAAAAGGGGCGGGGGGAGGGAATCTCGGGTCTTACTCCAGACCTTCTGAATTAAAATTTGCATTTTAACAAGATACCCAGCTATTTGTATGCAGATTGAAGTTTGAGAAGCATTGCTCCAAAACATTCTAAGGGTTTCAGTCCTTTATAGCTAATTAATAATCAGCTAATGTCTTATAAGTCAGTTAGAGCTTGTATTTCAAGGTACATTTAGCACCCCACTTCCCCCCCTCAGCGGCTGCATTTTCTCCAGGATCACCCTTGATCAGGAAAACATCTGTCTAGCGCTTTATTTCCTCCTCCTCTCTCTGGATGCCCTTAGAAGAAAGTGCCAAGGAGCAGAAAAGTGACCAGATGGAGCAGATGGAAAGAAGGAGAAAGAGGAGAAGCTAGAAACCCAGGTGATCTAGTCTGGCCATCGGCCTTCCTGAAGCTTCCAGGTACTCATTCCACCCTCATGAGATTAACTGTGGGCCTCCCAGGAGGAGGCCCAAAGTCTAAGGCCAAGAAGCAACCTGGTTGATTCCTGATTGCGTAGAGATTCAGCTTTAGGGAGCCTGGATCCCAAACCACTTTAGGGGCTCTTCAGGATTCCATGAGCCTGGGCCAAGGCTGACACCATTCACTCACTCATTCATTCGTTCAACAAATATTCACTGAATGACCACTACCTGCTAGGCACAGCTACGTAAGACCCAGATCCTGCTCTCCAGATCGAGTTCTTGCTATGCCATCGGTTAAACTATCATTCTAGGTGAAATCAGGCCTGCGGGGGTAGGAATACTTGGTGAAGGGCCCTTCAGAGCCCCAGCTGCTGGAAGTACTGGTGGCTAAGAGTTCTCATCTCAGCTGAAACCCCTGCCAGCCCCGGATGTCCTTGGCCAAGGTCATATCGTCACCCTAGACATCTCCAACTCATGTCTGGTGGAAAGGGGACACTTCACTCAACTCAGAACAAATCTGAAGGGCCAGAGTCACCGCTTGACTGTCTGAGGCCTGCACTGTAAGTGGCAGATAGAATGGCATCTGCCAATCTTGCTCCTGTCACCCCTCACCGGCATCCTTGCTGACGGAGCACACTCCCCCTCAATCCTTTGCCAAGAAATCTCAGCGTGTCGGAATCCGCCCCTAGGGACTAGACCTCAGACAGTGATTTTTTTTCTAAGTACCCTCTATCCCTGAGAGCCTCTGGCTATGGCAACAAACTACAGATAACTAATTGCCTCAAACTGATAGGTTTGCATTTTAAAAAAAAAAACATTTTCTTGAAGGCTTTTCAAGAGCTCCTAGAGAGATGTCCTCAGATGTGTTTATGTACCTTTTCTAAAGTATAAAAACAATTGAATCTATCATAATTTATGGATACAATCTTATTTTTTTATTTTAATTTTTATTTTTTTTACAATCTCATTTTTGAAGAAGTGAGCAATGCAGAAAAATTCACAGTGAAATTTGAAAGACTTTCAATTTGGGTCCCTTCTCCAATCCAGCTCTTTTCCCTCAGAACTAACCACCTCTCCGGTGTATCCTTCTAGATAGATCTTTGGCTATGCGTTTGCAAACATGAAAATGTATACAAACATACTAACTTTTAATGTTTATATAAATATATATTATATACTATATTTGTATTTAATATAAGTAAATTCCAATTGTTTAAGGCATTTACTTATCAAAGTCTGGAAGCTTGGATCTTTTACCACTAAATGGAGACCCACCTAATGCTTTGCGATGGCTGCATAATATCCCACACAGCGTGGATACGCCATTTAGCCACTCCTTGGGGATGAGACTTTTTTTTTAAAAAAAAAAAACTTTTATTTATTTATTCATGAGAGACACAGAGAGAGAGAGGCAGAGACACAGGCAGAGGGAGAACCAGGCTCCCTGCAGGGAACCCGATGTGGGACTCATTTCCAAGACCCCGGGATCATGACCTGAGCCAAAGGCAGAGGCTCAACCACTGAGCCACCCAGGTGCTCCAGGGGGTGAGACTTTCAGTGCTCACCCATATGCACTTCTTTTCTTTTCTGGACACTGGAGAGGGGATCGTATTTTCTACTCCATTGCAGTTTTTTGGGGCCGTGGGACTAGCTTCTGGCTGGAGGGTTGAAAGTGGAAGTGCCCTATGTCACTTCTGGGCTGAAGTGTTGGACTGCAGATGTGAGACCCTCTAGCACTCTGCCCCCTACCCCAGGGGAGAAGGCCTGCTGTTGAGATGATGGAGTCCAAGATCAAGACTGTCTGGACTGCTCATGTTCAACATGAAGGAAAGTTGCCCTAGGGCTGCCTGGATCTAGAGCAAACCTTATAGAGTGAATGAGAACTTACCCTTTGCTATGTTAAGCCTCTGATTTTTTTTTTAAACTGTGGCAGAACCAGATATTCTGACTGATATTCTGACTAATAACCTGTTGGGCGTTTAGGTTGCTCCTGATTTTTCACATTAAATAAAATGCCAAAATTAACATCCTCTATTGACATGTCTAAGTAGAGGGTGAATACTCTTTTTAGGATTTTATTTATTTGTTCTAGAGACAGTGAA